TTTGTAATTGTATGTTAACGCACTGAAATGTGCACTCTTTGTCTCCCACTCCATTGACCTTTATCAGTCAGCTAGCTCACTTCCACCCTTGATTATGTAACTCGTATTTACTTTATAGATCATTCCCCAGTTTGTGCTATGTTTCACTGTGACAATGAGGCAATCGTCAACATTTGGAAAAAAGGCTCTTCGCGATGTCAACGCATCATGTCGCTTGTACGTGCGTGCCATCTTCTTCACCGCAGCTAATGGCAACTTCCACGTCATGATAGCACATATTCGTGGTACTAACAATTCAATTGCTGACTCTTTGTCTCGTTTGCAGATGAAACGGTTTCGCCATTAACTGGTGCCAGTAACACTGCCAGACCTCGACAGCTACTATCCACAACAGTAACTAGACTTGAGCAACAAGCCCACCAATTCATGCTCCATCGCCTCTCGGCAGCAACACGACGCACATATTCATCAGGTCAGTCCAGATACCGTCTTTTCTGCCAACAACATAGGTTAACGCCCGTACCCGTGACACCGCGGCTTGCCACTCTATTCGTCACACGTCTCGCCATGGAGGGTCTAGTCTACAAGTCAATCAAAGTTTACCTTGCCGCTATTGTCAGCCTCAACGCCGAAACTGGACACACCGAGGACATTGCATCTAACAACATGCTGCGCCATGTACTACAAGGTATCAAACGCGATCACGGTGACCCCATTCGCCCAAGATTGCCAATCACAATGACACTAATACGTAAAATCAAGAATGCGCTCAGGTCGCACCCTGCGATTCATGTCAATGACAAACTAATGCTGTGGTCTGCTTTCACCTTAGCTTTTTTCGGGTTTTTACGAGTTAGTGAGTTCACCGCCATATCAGCTTCAACATTTGACAACGATGGTACCCTTCTCGGCTCAGACGTACAGCTCACAGACGATCTTATCGTCACCATTAAAGCTTCTAAAACAGACCCGTTTCGCCGTGGCCAAGTCGTCACCATTGCACCTACGCAGTCATCTATTTGTGCGGTTCGCGCATTCCGCAACTACAACCCGGCAGCCCTCAACGCACCAGCGTTCTGCTTCACGAACGGCAAATTCCTTACGCGTCAAGCTGTAACATATCACCTTCGCGACCTACTCCTTCGTGCAGAAGTTCCAAATGTGTCTAATTATGCCAGTCACAGCTTTCGCAGTGGTGCAGCAACAACAGCTGCCGAGGCCAACCTCCCCGACTGGCTGATAAAAGTCCTAGGACGATGGCGTAGTGACGCATATCAGCTGTACATTACCACACCAACTGACATTATTCGTAAAGTACCAGCAACGCTTGCTCAACATCGCTGAACATTGCTAGAACTTAACATCTCACCAATTTTGCAACTGGCAAGCAGAACACTTGTGCTTATACACACACATGCCTCGATCTCGTCATTTATTATCTGCATGTGCTTTACATAACCATCGCATTCATATGTATTCGATTCATTTTACTCGTATTTTCTAATTTTGTAATCTTGTAATTCTTAGATACTATTCGATCTTTCGTAGTTTTAGTTCGCATTTGATTCTAGTTTGCTTTGATTTATTCATTTACTCGAATGTTTGTGTACACCAACTTAGCCTAAAAGAAAACTGTAAACTATGCTTCCAGTGCATGCACGTGCATCTATTGCAGGCTTATGCCTACTACATCATGCTCCTTGGCATGCCACTGCATCTAATTTGGGGGGATTGTCACACAGGGAATCCATACTCTGTTTGGGCAACACGTCGCACTTGCCCCGAGATGAGTTGAAAGTTACAACTCGCCGCGGGACATAGGCCTCAATGACGCCTACACACAGAGTACCCTTAGGTGGCGCCCTCACTCAAGTACCACGTCGTCCTTGCCATGATGTTGGTCAAAGGCGACCAATATCATGGAATAGACGGCTAAGACGCTTGTACGCTGAGGCTCTCGATCCCCCTACTTTTTCTCGCATATCAGTCTCTTGTGTCATTTCTAGTGCGTTAATGTGACTATTACAAAACATTTGTAATTGTATGTTAACGCACCGAAATGTGCACTCTTTGTCTCCCACTCCATTGACTTTTATCAGTCAGCTAGCTCACTTCCACCCTTGATTATGTAACTCGTATTTACTTTATAGATCACTCCCCAGTTTGTGCTATTTTAGTTAGTATCCCATGAACCATCATGTGTTTACATTTTGCCATCTTAGCCAATCACGTTAGTGCATCCACGGCGTCCCTTAGTCTTGGCTACTCTCATCTCATCATTCAGTTCCTGTTTTCATACAGTGAGCATCGTTCAAGTTACCTCCCACCCTCCCATCAATACAGTCTGCTTCTTTATTTTGTTTTTTTTCCTCTGTACTTTTTTCATGTTTTGGTTATTTATCAATAAATACAGCTAGGGGGGGGTGGATTGTCACACAGGGAATCCATACTCTGTTTGGGCAACACGTCGCACTTGCCCCGAGATGAGTTGAAAGTTACAACTCGCCGCGGGACATAGGCCTCAATGACGCCTACACACAGAGTACCCTTAGGTGGCGCCCTCACTCAAGTACCACGTCGTCCTTGCCATGATGTTGGTCAAAGGCGACCAATATCATGGAATAGACGGCTAAGACGCTTGTACGCTGAGGCTCTCGATCCCCCTACTTTTTCTCGCATATCAGTCTCTTGTGTCATTTCTAGTGCGTTAATTACAGAATAAATGGCGTTATAAAATTATTTTTGATTGTTTTCTTACAGACACAACCGCCCATGTTTACATTGATTATTGTTACATGTCTGTCCTTTTTACAATGTTAACAAGCAGCCTATCGGCTGAGATAGCCCCGCTGTTAGCAATGCACATTTCAATTAAAGAACTGAAGACATCATTAGAAAATGAACAATATGTATAGTATCAAAGCAAACAGACTTACAGTTTTTAACAAGAAGTCGAAAATATCACTTTCTACCAAAAATGACAAAAATATTCACCAAAATTAGAGAATTGAAGATATCATCACGAAATGAACAAATCTGAGAAAGGTCTACATGTAGTATCTATATATGTAATAGCAAAGCAATTGAATTTTTGGTTTTTAACAAGAAGTCGAAAATATCACTTTTACCAAAATTACAAAAATATTCACCAAATAAATTAATTAGAGAATGAAGATATCATCACAAAATGACAAATCTGAGAGGTCCACATGTAGTACCTATATATGTAGTATCAAAGCAATTGGACTTGCAGTTTTTAACAAGAAGTCGAAAATATCACTTTTTACCAAAAATGACAAAAATATTCACCAAAATTAGAGAATTAAAGATATCATTAAAAAATGAACAAATCTGAGAGAGGTCCACATGTAGTACCTATATATGTAATATCAAAGCAATTGCACTTGCGGTTTTTAACAAGAAGTCGAAAATATCACTTTTTACCAAAAATGACAAAAATATTCACCAAAATTAGAGAATTGAAGATATCATCACGAAATGAACAAATCTGAGAGAGGTCCACATGTAGTACCTATATATGTAGTATCAAAGCGATTTGACTTGCGGTTTTTAACAAGAAGTCGAAAATATCACTTTTTACCAAAAATGACAAAAATATTCACCAAAATTAGAGAATTAAAGATATCATTACAAAATCAACAAATCTGAGAGAGGTCCACATGTAGTACCTATATATGTGATATCAAAGCAATTGCACTTGCGGTTTTTAACAAGAAGTCGAAAATATCACTTTTTACCAAAAATGACAAAAATATTCACCAAAATTAGAGAATTGAAGATATCAACATGAAATGAACAAATCTGAGAGAGGTCTACCCAAGGTACATATACACCAAGTATCAAAGCATTCAGGCTTGTAGTTTTCAAGAAGAAGTCGAAAAAGTAAAACATTGACACGGACGACGGACGACGACGACGGACGACACCGGACAATCACTCATATGATAAGCTCCGCTCGACAAAGTCGACAGCGGAGCTAAAAAGTACATGTAGATAGTGCTACATGTGCTAAATTCTTCTTGTATTGCACTCCCAACTTATTTTTAGATAACACGTCAGAAATTCAAACAAAACTAGCTAGAATAGGTCATTAGACTAGACTATCTCTGTATGAGCTA